TGTTCAATGCTTGATTTTCAGTAAAAGTTTTCAGATCATCAATTTCTGTGATGCCAGGACAAAAGTTTTTCATCTGTTCAGAGCCTTGAAGGCATTTGCTCTCTAAATGAGAGCACCATAGAGGGAGCATTTGGGAATTTCCTTAGAATTACTGTTTTGTAATCTCTCTGTTCATTAGTCTGCCTGAATATCTATCTATCTATCTATCTATCTATCTATCTATCTATCTATCTATCTATCTATTTCTTATCCATCCATATATAACTGTCTATCTTTCTATATGCCTGTCTTTCCTATTTACCCTATGTCCTGTATGTCTCTGCGTGTGCATGTTTTTCTACTCATGGATCATTCGACTTGCCAACTAGTCTCACATCCATCAAACTCCCTATTCATCCACCCATTTATCCATTGGTCCAAGGTAATTCAGGACTCATAAGGGCCCCAAAATGACAGGTGATGATTGTGTATTAGCTCTATTTTGAGCAAGTATGAAGTCTCAGGGGAGGACTTGGAGCAGTCTGCAGGAATCTAGGCCTTTAGGATGTCTGGGTGAACTCTGCAATGACCTCTACTGGGAAGCGTTCTGCTATCTTAACAGTCTGCACAGCCATGCAGTGTGTGCGCTACTAACTGTGGCACCTCCACTGCTGTATTTTTACATAAAACCAAGAATTCATAATGAGTAGTAAGGCATATTGATTATGAAACTTACTGCATCAAAACAAGCTACATATATTTCACCATGCAATATATCTCTGACAAATTGTCTAAAATGGTTTTGTGTTAACATAGCAATTTACCATATTTTCATGTTTTAAGTGTAAAATTTTATATTTGCAATCTATATTTATATAATGAGGTATTTCATAAAGTGATTAAAAATGCAGCAAAGCTATATTTAAAATTTGAATGGCATATACAGAGACTATAGCCAATGAATAATTCATTTATAAATAAAATTAACTAACTATACTAAAAAACCCCAAAATATATGACAAGGGAAACAAAACGTTTTAAGGTAATGAGAAAGACTCTTGAAGATACAAAGACCACATAATTTTGGCAAATCTTGATTATAATAAAGTTAATATATGTTAAAATTTCATAAAAACAAGCATAAAAACACATGGAGTTAAAGGTGGAAATAACTATGACCATGGTCATTTCTTCACATATTATATCTGGAAGTCAATCAAGAGAGTCGAGGAAGATTATTATTATAATTGTATTGGCTAGGTTTTTCAAGAAAAGCAAAATCAATAGACTTTATATTCAACACACTTACATTTATATGATTAAAATGTGTGTGTGTGTGTGTGTGTGTGTGTGTGAGTGTGTGTGTTAAGCTGTGAATTCAGATTCAGGAGAGTCCAGAGTGGTTGGACCCTGAAGAGCCAGAAAGTCCCATAGCAGCTGCACAGAATTTATTAGTTAGTGAACTAGAGGCATAAATAAATCAACAACACTCCAACATCACAGGCTTTCAGCTTACCTGGAGGGTCCTGATGATGAGGCTGACTTGAGTAGCTAAGGAAATCGGAGCTTCAAAATACTGCAACAGATCTCCTTTTTCTTCCCCTTTTATGCTACCTGACATGTGCCCTCATCGGTGGATGCCACCCAGAGTCACCTTAGGTCCTCCCCCAGGAAGGCTGGTGAACTCCATACAAAGGTATCTGAAACATGTGACAGGCAGTTCTAGAATTGTGTTTGCCTAATCTGGCAGATATTGCTTCATCCAGTCAAGTTAACATGTGATGATTAGCAGTCACAGTGCATCTCATGTTGACTTCCCAACCAAACACAACTCCCTAAACCATAGGTAATTTACAAACAGAATAGCAAGTTTACAACCCCACTTAACGTAATAGAGCTATCTTGCATGGAACTGGGAGCACATTAACTCCTTCCATATATAGCACCCAGAGCTTCCCTTGGGGGATGCTTCCACTACACATGGCATGACTCCACTAAAAATGTAGAGTTAATAATATTTAACTATTGCAATTAATTCAATCACTATTATGCTGTATAGTATAGAAAAAAAACACAAGATTTTATGTATATGACTTTAGGAGGTACACAGCTGCTTCAGATTCCTTACATGGATGGAGAACCCATACCTTCATTCCTGAAGTATTTGGGCAAGTTCTCATTCATCCTGGATTGGTTTGATGTGCTTCGCAATCAACCTTACTAACAGGCCATGGTAATACCAGCAGAATCCTAAAGAATACCATGCATTCCAAATGTATTGACCAATACCTCCACTGTGAAGCAACAGTCCAGTTTCTCCTTGGCAGTCTGCAGCAGTCTCCACCATGAGCAACATAACTCTTCATCAAATCATTGGCTCAGGTGCATGATGGTCCCATCATCATGCACCGGAATGCATTTCCTGAGGGGAAATATTCAGGCTGCATTTCAATGGATTCCTTGTTACTCCAGTAGGAGAAGCTATTTCCTTTGTGGACCTGACTTTTAGTTCAGCAGAGCTTAAGGTCACACAAACAGAAGGTAAATATGTCACTAGTGGGTCCTTGAGGGAAACAGTCAGTAGAAGCATTGCAATTTTGACTGATTGATTCCTGGACCCATGAATCCTGGGCATGGGAGAAACAATTTCAGATGTAGGATACTGATTAAGAGCTTATATATAATTCTGTGGAAATCTGCCCAGCCTTGCAAGGTATGACAGCATAGCAGCAAAGTGACTGCACCCTCAAATGACCCTTTCATCCAATTGCATCTGCCTTTCTTCCTTAGCCTGGAAGAGCATTCTTTGCTGAGAAGCACTACTAGGGGGAAGAATATAATGGTAGACTAAACATTCTCTAAGCCAAAAGATGCTTGTATTGGGATAAGGATTACATGTAGGAAATGCAAATCCATATGTGGCATAAGTATTTCTTTAAGGACAAAGAGTGAACACTTCCATGATGAAAGCAGTCAAATATAAGCAACTTATCATCAGGGTGCAGGCTAATAACCATGGAGAAAGGTGTGATATCAGTGCTCAGCAATGTATTTTGCTCTTGGCAGGTGGGACACTAGGCAGTGGCTGTAGCCAGGTCAGTGTGGGGAGTGCAAGGCAATGTTTCTGAGCCCACTCCTAAACCCCAGCTCTCTCACCATGAGCACTTGGTTCAGGAGTCACTGGGGCAATCATAGGATTTTCTAAAAAAGATGGTTAACTGCTGCTGCACACAGAATGTGATTTCTATATTGCTGGTTAAAGATTCATTCATCTTACATTACTTTTTTATAAATATTTAAGTTTTACACAAATATTTGACATTCTTCCAACTTAAGGAGATGTTTATTAACAAAATTCTCCTCCCCATGTCTTTTATGTCCTGTTTTCCAGTCATGTTTCTGTCAAGTTGATGATACTCTAGCCACAAGCCTGCCTAGGGCCAATGAAGTGGTGTATAGTCACACATCTATACAGTCACACATGTGACATTTTTTCTTCCAAGCAATATTTCAGAGGTTCACAGCCCAAGGTTTTCTGTGCTGTGAATATTGTCCTTAAACACCGTTCTTCATAGTATTCTCTAAATGTGGTGCAGTTCTATTCCTGTCCTCCTGCAGCAGACCCCACATGATGTGTAGAAATATCTGTTCCCCTGCACATGTTCTCCTCTCCTCACAGTTGATCACAAGGTAGCTTATGGGGACACAGGTGCACACTAGGGGACAGAAGTCTGTCATTGAGATCGCGTCTACTAATGCAGTGTGATGCACAGAGCGGAACATCAGGTGGAGTCTTCACCTCACGGACACCACAGGCTGCCAGGCACTCAGTGCAAGGAGCCCATGAGGCACTGTTTAGTTGTTTGGAAGGAAGACTTAAAACAAATTTTAGAGCAGTAAACCGTACTGGAAACTCTTACCTTTTCTCTGATCCAAGTAGAGTGGAATAAGTGATCTTATCGTAAGAAAGGCTGAGAAAATTCTCCCCCTGGTGAGAGTGTTTTTATGCTAACTTTCTGACTTAGAGCTATACCTGATATTGTTAATGAGTCCCATGATGAAGGAGATTCCCACTCACTTAACAGTTAAAATGTCAGAGAATTTATATATAGATTAATTGCCTTTGGTTCTTTGTTTTTAACCTTTTCTTTTGGAAGCCCTACGTTACACCAAATCTGCCTGAAGGAAATTTTTTTTAAAAGTGACCTGGACCCTATAGTGTTGTACATTGTACTGGGAAAACTTGTATTCAAACAAATAACTGTATTTCATATATCATATATTATGCTGGAAAAACATGCAGTGGGAGCGACACAAATAAAATACCCTTTACAATATTTTGTATTCGTTATAAATATATGGTGTGGTTGAAACATGGTGAATACTTTAATTAAAAATTAATTACAACAGAAATTACTAGCCATTGTTCCCCCTGAAAATCCACGCTGTCACATTGAATATACGGTACACATATTTCTTTCATCTTTTCATGTATTTCAGGCAAGCCTTTTCATGAGTGTTTTTACCAGATGTGATGAAAAATGTATATGTTGAGAATTGCAGCTCAGTGCCCTCCAAAGTAATGTGAAGCTTGTGAAACCTTACATTGACTCTTCATTCATCTGTTTCACTGCTTTGGAAACTGTTTGATTTCTGATTCTTCCCAAAGAGAAATACTGACTATGAGCAAAATCCCTCTCTGTCCATTACAGAGAGTGGTCCATGCGTAAAACTCAGAAGAGAATAACTGATTTCAGCAGGTACTCTCTCACAAGGAAGGCAAAGCTTCCCAGATATGAAGAATCAACAGAACGAAAAAGCTCCTAGATTGAATGAAATACCAGGTTGGTTGAGAAAGGGAAGCGGAGCCCCTACTGGTCAGCAGCACTGTTGGCTCCTATAGCTTGGCCCTTCCAATCTCAAACTGGCTCTAACATCCTGAAGGAAAGCTAGAACTTCAGAGGCCACACTCCGGGGACTTGCTCCTTGCACAATCTCCCTCCTTGAAAGAGGAAACACACCTGTGCGGTGACTACAGACAGGACCCAGGCATCCATGGTTACAGCCAGAGGCAATGGGGTAAAGTGTAGGCCAGCAGCTCTGCAACAGGCACTGCTTTAATCTCTGTGATGCCTTGTCTATATCACAATGACAGATGCTCCCTATCTGTGAAGATACCCAGAAAAGAATGAACACGCAAGACTTGCTTTTCTCCCGCTGGTTATTATCACTCAATGGAGGATGATCATTCAGTCCTCACTCCCTATTTTTAACCTCTGTGCAGCTCACAGTAAGGGATGTCAGAACATCCTCTCCTGTGCCCCTCTGGGCAGGTCCAGTGTAGTCAGAGAAATGGAGACCATGAGAATGAGGGAGGAGACTTGCAGGAACTGATCTCATCTGCATTCCCTGCTGGGTCCCTTGAACCACCATAGAGGGCAGGAAAGTATTAAAGAGCTGAGCGTGAGATGGAGTTGGACTTCGACCTGACTATATTTTTTATAAGCACAGTGATTAGAATATGTAAAGGGTTTCCAAGGCAATGCTAGGGAGATGTGTGTGGTTGCATTGTAGATGAAGGCTGGAGTTAGAGGAATTCAAAGCCATTTCGTATCTGTGTCCTAACAATGTTCAGGTGACTTAGTAAACTCACGGCATTTGGTCAGGGCAGTTATAGAAGAAACTTGTATCAGCTGTCAAAATGTTGTGAAATTTAAACCATAGAATATGGCTGTCTCCTGAAGAATGCTGAAAATCCATTTTTTT